CTTTTTTTCCACTACTGCCCAGCAGAAAGGCTCCTGGCTGTTTCTTATAGCGGAGCAGTTGGAAAGCAGACAGTTGCTATTAATAGTTTATTGTCATGTTATCCTACAGAAAAGTGTCTGTTATTCAGTTTCAGTTGTCGTAAGAGTTTTAGAGAGCAGAAGAGAACTAAAGAAGAGAATTGAAGCATTAATTAAGAGCTTTATAGAGTTGTTGTATTTGAGCTGGGTTTCCAGCAAATCCTCTATATGGGACTAACGGCAAAAAACAACCACATAAAATGGCGTAGAAGCGTTCGTTTAATTTGTTTAACCTGGACACTGTGAGGTCCAATTTAACAGTCCAGTTTTTAATATAAACACATATGTCTTGGTCCTACTTGCGAGCTAACAACAAGTGTCTGGATACAGTCTGCACAAGCTTTTGTCGTGTTAGCCATCTGCTCTACTAACTTCTACTGCAGCAAGTGGACTCTCACCTTCTTGTTGCGAGTGCTACAAATGTAATCGCATCCCTATTAAATACTGTTTTCTTCTCTGCTTTTCCTCTAGCTCTCATCCAGTCAGTGATCATGGAGATGACTGATGAGATGGTCACCTGCTCCTCTCACAACATCTACCCCGTGCCTCAGGTGACATGGGCCACAGATCCCCCCTCTGCCCAGGAAGCTCTAGAAAATTCCACCATCAAAACCACTGACCACAAGGGTCTGCTCACTGTGGAAAGCACGCTGAGGATTCTGGGTAATCTCTCCAACTATACCTACTTCTGCTCTTTCATAGCGGCTGACAAGACCCAGGTGTGGACTGCGTCTCGGAAAAACCAAGGTGCGTTTTATTTATAACATGGTGTAGTTTTCCTAGAGAGGATGATTTCTAACAAATAAAAACGATGTATGTTTGATATATTTCAGAGGGTATAACACAGGAGGAGGGTCATGCACTGTCCATCCCCTGCATCGCTCCGCGCAGTCTCCAGAATTTCTCCCTCATCTGGACCTTCACCTTGTCCTCTGAGCCCACAGTTATCTTGAGATATGAAACAAAAACCAGACACACCTTTAACCTGTGGGAGGGTCAGGCTGAACTGGACCAGGACCTGCTTCTTCTGGGCGACGGATCTCTCCTGCTTCACAAGCCAGACATCGAGGAGCAGTCTGGGACGTATACGTGCACCCTCTCGGGCCTGCAGAGCAGACACATTGTTCAAACCAAAGTAAACATCACTGTTGCATCAATAAGTGAGTATTAGAGTGTTCCGTTCTGTAAACTCTACTAAACCAGGATGGAAATTAGAAACAATTCGCTGAAAAGAAATGTGGCACGTGTGCTCTGCAGGTGTGGACGAGCAGAGTGTACAGAGGTCGTGGTGGAGCACGGCAGCTTCTGCAGCTTTTTTCTTGTTCACCGTCACTGTAGCTCTCCCTCAGTGTGTAAGAAAGAGAGGTATGTAAGATATTCACACCGTAAGGGATTCAAGCCTTTATGATGAAAAGGGATGAAAGGTAAATGCATGAAGCAATTGTAGCTGAGACGTGATTTATGATTCAAAGCTATGAAATAGTTCTTTGAATTCAGCAGTGTGGTCGGCTGTTATCTTAAGATATCACAAAATAGAAAGCATTCACACAAAAGCCCACCACTGCTAAAGCTGCACTCTAATCATTAGCATTTTTAACAGTACAAAAGTTGTTTACAAGCAAGTGGAACTGCATCTGGATGCAGATCTGATTCATGAGGGATAGGAATGCAAGAGTTGAAGTGAGTGCTGTAGCAACAGGATCTATTGGCAAAATAATATAGTCGTTGTGCAGGACAGCTCTTATTTGGAGTTTCTTTGTTTTTTACTGCATAATCAAAATATGTTGAAAAAGATCCTTGCAGGAGTGAAGGTGAAAGAGTTTTGCAAAAAAATGTAAAGAACGTAACAGAAGAGTGTTGGACCAAATATCAAAAAAAGACAGCAGAATGAAGCTGAAGCAGAATTTAGATATCCTGCTAATTAACAAACAAACAAATCAGTGGAAGCAGTGATATTGCAAATGCAACAGCTCCACTTGTGTTCAAAATTGACAGATTGAAATTAAATTAAAGTATAGTGTACCAACACATGCAATATTTTAGTGTCATTTTGCTGTTGAACTCATTTTGATTTTCTCTCCATTACAGCAATGGAGACCAGAAGTGCCTCGCATAGATTCAATGGAGCAGGTTTTGTTGAAGTCGGGCTTCACAAACATCTAAACACCACGGCTTCATACATAATTGGACAACGTGGAGTTGATTGCAACAGACTGCAACTACAGTTTGAAGCACAGGATGAAGTGGCAGACAGTACGCCAAACACAGTGGACGACTGCACTGCGGCTTTACCACCAGCTACTAAAATAGAACAAGAAGGAAATCCAGGAGGACCACCTGTGGAGGGAAATGATGGGCTGCTATCCAGTAGTCTAGAGAGGGATGGGTTTGGAAACATTGAGCCCGGACATCATATATCATGAACTTCAAGAGAATAAAATCCTCTGGCCACAGGTGAGCAACACGCTGTGGAGGATAATGCACGTATAAATACCTCCAACAAAACAGACCCATCCAGATCAAACAAGGGATTCTCTGAAATGTATCAAGAGCAAGTGTCTTGCCATCTATTCACAATCAGTATACTGGTATACCATGAGAAACGGTTACATGTGAGCTTGCTGTTCTGCCTTTTAAAATAAAAAGAAACTTATTGCACAGTTTTCTGTTCTGTGCTCACATTTGCCAATTTTGTACAAAAATGTGTTTGTTGCATTTTTTTGGTGGTGATATTCAAGGTTCACTTTCTGCTATCTCGCATCTAAATCATTCAAGGTTGACAGTAAGGTTTCATGATGAAACAGAAGTAACAAAATATGTTGTTTTTCAGAGTGCACATGATATGTGTCTTAGGAGTTTCCTCCCACTAACGTCAGCTGTTATCTTTTGGATAACAGCTGACTCCAACACTCAAACATCTTGTTTAGCAGTTTCAAGTGGACTTACAGAAAGCCAATTGGCCAATTTTCAAATTAAACTGAATCTGGTCATCCAGATAAAGCCAGCAGATAGCTGTGATGTGGGTTATGTTCACTAAAGGCCTACATCCTTCTCATTTCCTTAATGATTATGTACTGTGGATACAAACATTGACAATAAACAAACCTTTTGACTCCACAAAAGGGCTTTGGGGCTGGCTCATGTTGTCACCAGTGGTCTCAGGAACTGCTCTGGGTGAATACACATCTTACAATTGAAGCAGTTCAGGTGTGTGGAGTTTGAGATGAAGATTCATTTTTGTGCCACTGAGCCAAAATATCCGAGGGCAGGTGAGAAACATGAGTTTAGATCTGAGAAAACAAAGTGCAGGATGAGTCGACAAGGCCAAAGTCCAGTTTGACGACATCCAACATCACCACATTTAACCCGAAAACTTGCCTATTGACTTTGCACTCTTGTGATTGAGTGAGACAAACACTGTGACTCAGACCTTCCGACAATTACCAGAATGGATCGTACACCCAGTCCCACAATCTGACACCATTTATTTGTTTCGTTCCCCCTCCTCCATTCTTTTCCCACTGCCGTTACTCCAAATCACCAGATTCACTCTACATATGGTTTCAGTATAGTTTAAAAAAATGCATACATATGCAACAGTAGAGCTGTGGTTGCTTTAAAATATTATTTAATTTCTTTTTAAAACCTTCTTTGGACAGGAAGTGGAGTAACATTCCAGCGCTCTATGACAATTAAATCTTTGTTTTGGCAATACATTTAAAGTCTCCCCGTTTTCAAATGAGACCCTCCCGGGATTTATATGTGTCACTTTATTTTCCTGAAACTGTAAAGAACGAGAGGGGGGAGGCAGACAGACGTGTGTGTGTGTGTGTGTGTGTGTGTGTGTGTGTGTGTGCGTGCACTTTTATGACAAAGACTCCAGCACTGTGTCTGGAAGTAATCATCTCGTCGACGCTGCACGCCGCAGCCCCCTCCCTATGATGTAATTGGAGTTTTTTCGCGTGATGGTTCAAGATTTTCAGTGGGATTCAGGGGGACTTTTCCAAAGTAACTTTTCATTCATTCTGGTCTCTGAACTTGCTTCCTAATTCTCTACGTACTATTCACTAGTTTTATACCAACTTGTGAAATAAAAATGTATGAGATCAATAATGACCACAGTATTAGTCATGCTCCTCATGTCTGTGTGGATTATGTCTCTGCCTGTGAGGGGTTTTTCACTCTCTGCCTGCACAGTTAGGAGGGGGAGTGAGGTTGGCTCTGTTTCAAACACAGCCATGGGGCCTCCTCCTGCCTCCACATACTGCTGAAACAACAATCTAAGGGTCAACATTTTTTTTTTACAGCTTTGAGCACTAATGCCTGCTTTTGCTTCTTCTTCTATAGAAGAACACACATTGTGAGAAGACTCCTCTGTGTGAGAAGTGAAGAGTCTAGTTTCTCTGTGAACAAACTGGCTGGACAGCAAAAAACAACAACTCTTGTGCAGAAAGTTCAGTCTATGAAGGTTTAAAGAAGGTGGAGAGAGAAAAGGGAGATCGGACACTGTCACGTGACAAGTTACAGATTAGTAACTCACTCAAACCTGTTTCATGCTGGAATATAATTCAATGATAACATGATACTGCAGTTTAGAGGTGATTGTGAGGTCAGAGGTGTGCAGAAAAATAAATAAGTGCCAGAGGGGATTAAACTAATTAATTTGAAGACACTCATAAAGCTATAACTGTGTGATAATGCTTATACACTTCTTCCCTCTTGCCTTTTTACATAGAAGCAATTCTCTATCTAACCAGAGAGAGGCAGCAGTGGGGCCTGATGCTGAAAAGTAAACATACTCTCTCTCTCTCTCTCTCTCTCTCTCTCTCTCCCTCTCTCTCTCTCTCTCCCTCTCTCTCTCTCCCTTTTGGCGAGAGGAGTCTGATCTAAAAGTTGAGGTGGGAGGGGAGAGGGTCTCCTGTATGATCCTTTGTCATAGGAAGACGTTACTCTGATGATTCATACGGAGAGAGAGAGAGAGAGAGAGAGAAGACTTCAACAGCAACAGACACGCAAAAAAACTCAGGCGCAACTATGTGAATTGGACAGAAATCAAAGGTCAGTCGCTTTTCTTTTAACGCAGAAGTCGATGCAGTCTGCTCCTAAATGTCCTTATCGATGCAAACAGTGATGCTCCGGGAGAACCGCACGGCTGCACGTTGTGTGGTTGACACCGCTATGTCAGACCTTATTAAGCTGCCTACACAGGCTTGCTGCATGCACAGTTGTTGCCAAGTGTAGGGCTGTGAAAATATGCATCAAATGGTTTGAATGGAATTATGTTTTCTGTTACTCATGTCAATGTAAATGTCGCAAGCTAGTGCTAAAAGAAATGTGCAAAAAGTCAAGGGAATGGATTTGAGATGTCACAGTTATCTGGCTTTGTTAAAAGAAAACATTTGGTTTTATTTCTTAACATTGCTGGGAAATGACACAACATCATTTACAAAAGAAAGTGGATGACAGCCAACGGTGGTCATCATTTCAAACTGTTGAGTACATCCCCAATTGTGTGTTTGTTCATTTGTTTGATGCCTGATGTTGAACCGGTTTATTGTAAAAGCAGTGCATTGACTTTAGAGCATGAATAATTAGTCAATTAATCGAGAAGTTTCGAGACATTTCTTGTGAGTATTTGCTCTTTTTCTGGGGTTTTTATCACTGTAAACTGAATATTGAGTTTTGAATTGTTAGTCAGACTAAATAGGACATTTGAAGATGTCACTTTGGAGTTTTGGGAATTTGGAAAAGGTATTAATCACTATTTGATTCAGGTCATTATAGACAATGATTAATTAAGACAATATCTGAAGATTAATCAAAACCGAAAACAACCAATATTTTCCGACTTGATTCATTCTAAAGCAAATTTTTTTTGCAAACCCCAGATTTGGGGATTTTTTTTACTTTCATGGAACTAAACATTGTGTTTGTCTGGGCAATAAGTGAGACTTGAAATGCAACAACGGTGTGAGTCTTATTTAACGAGAAAGTATTCATCTTCCCTGTGTTACCACACATGACATGAAAAAACATTTTATCTTTTTACATCTCTGCGTTCATGAACTGGCTGTAATCTGGGTGAAGCAGTAAAAACTGTTGCTCCTGACGTGAGGCCGGGGTTTTCTTTTTTCCAGGAGGTCTGGAGAATGAACTCATGCTGATTGATTGTGTGACTGTAAAAGGACACCCTACTTCCTGTAGGCCCTCTCTCCAGACAGCAAGAGCAGAAAATCTTGGATCAGCCATCTCTGTCTTTCTCTGCGGTGTGTGTGTGTGTGTGTGTGTGTGTGTGTGTGTGTGTGTGTGTGTCTGTGTGTGTGGGTGGATTCAGGAAACAACATCTGACTTTTAAAATCCCTCTGTTTTATCACTGGAACCAATAAAATCCTCACTCAATCAGATTTTTTTGAGTTATGACCTGGAGTGTGGTGACCTGAAGATGTATTTCATAGTTATTTATTTTAGCTTTCCTTTTCTTAGAGAGAGAACCACTTTCTCTTCGAATGTTGGCTGCTCAATATCTTCACTGGAAAAATCTAATTTATAATGCTATGAAATAGTGAAAATAAAGCAACTTTTGAAGCCGTTAAGCTATAACCTGCAAATATTTGGTATTTTTGTATATATTTGGCTGCTGTTTGAATGAGTGTGAGGGAATACTTTTGAGGACTGCTCATGAGCTTCAGGCTGAAACATAGATTAAGGTGCAGAGCGCTTTCAGACTTGGTTTTTATTGGTGACACTGAGCCAGGCATCAAAAAAACTTTCCTCTGGATCTGTTTTCCAACTTAGTCCTTAGGAAAGTTTTTTTTTCTTTCCGTTTAAATATGCACATCTGAAATATCTGCTTGAATTGAGGTATTGTAGAGTTGTAAGAGGTTGTTTTGAGGGACCGCAAGGCATGGATTCAACTTCCTGTGATGTTGCTTGAATTATTTTCTTTCTACATTGAAAGATGCTTCTGTTGTTGCAGGAATACTGCTGTGAGGGAAAGTTGAACCGGTTCAGTACATTTGTATTTCAACAGGTGAATCCATTTCTCACAAGGTACAACCCTTTTTGACAATATTAAGAGCAAAAAGAAGTTGCTATTTTGCTCATGCTGTGGGAGTTTCATATTGATCCTCTCCCTTTTCTTCTTCTCAGGGAACAAAGCACGTAGGTCCCAGCTGACTCCTGCATCCTCAGACTGAATCAGAAAAAGGAGGTCAGTGTGATGAACAGCATGCTTCCTCAGAGGAGTGCTGTGGCCACACTGGGCTACAGCTCAGGTAAGACAACTTTCAAGATACGTTTTTGTTTTCATGTTATATTTTCTTGATATTGATCACTTCTATTTGGTCATTCAGCAGTGAATCTCACAGTAATCTACAGCTCTAGATTATACATTTCACATGCATTTGGTTGCATGTTGCATACACTTAATCAAATCTGTGCTCCACCCGAGTTCAAAGAACAGATTCAACTCAATTACAAACTATCATATGTGGAGTAGTTTAGTGCTCCATGAAGCAGGTTTATGGAGTTATCTGGATAACCTGGAACAACTCTTTTTGCAACAGTCCATGTTCAAGACTTTAAGGGCCTCTAGGTTTGGACACATTTTCCTTTTGGAACAAGTTTTGTGCCGATATGATAGGCTGAAAAAACACACAGAATGCTGCGATTTAGCTTCAGCAAGATATTAGCTTTATTCCTTAATGATCTGACAAGCAGTTGGATATTAATAAAAAGTTAATAAGCCAAGTTGTATTTGACGCAGCTAACCAGGATTCAATTGAGACAAAGGAGTACAGGATGTGGACATTCTTTAATATCACTACTCTAAAGATTCAGCATCCAGCCACCCGTGATGACTCAGGGCACCGTCCACACACTGCATGCTCAGATATGTGGGCTGGGGTGGAAGTGAACTCTCTTGCAGTCGAGACTATGATGCATTCTAGCTTGTCTTGGTCCACCAGCATTCTTCCATTTTTAGAAGAAGCTGAGCCACTGATTGAGCCCATGTTTGTGTTGGGCTCAGAACTGTATGAGCGTACATTCTTCACTGGTTCCCCCCCCCCCTTACTCAGCACATGAGTGATAGCTGAGCTGGTGCTTATTAAATGGGCTACATTAAACCAGACTCTCACACAGTCCAAAAAGGGACAGGGTTTCATGCTCTGCCAACTCTCTTTTCTACAGATTGTGTAAAGATTGAGCGCAGCAGCAGTGGCTCAGCGGGTGGGTCATTGCTGAGGGGCTCTCGCTCTAAGGCAGAGCTACAGGACCTGATGGAGACGCTGCAGCGCAGGAAGAGTGCTCTGGAGGCCAGTTTGAGGGCGGCTGAGTGCAACCGCAAATACCTCAGCGTGCCCGTTGGATCCCAGTCCACCGGGCCGCTGTCGATGCTCGGCAATACTGAACGGCCTCCGTCGGCCTCCAGAACTTTGTCCTACATGACCAGCAGCAGCGTGCCTCCTTCGCCTCGCCAAGGTGAACGCCAGCTGAGCCCCAACGGCTTGCTTCGTCATTCCCACTCTCGCCACCAGTCACAAGACAGTCTGCTCCTCTCCAACTCAGCAGGCGGGAGCTCTCTGCTCTCCTCTTATGGGCAGCACCTACCTCGCTCTCCCAGGGTCAAAAGTGGAGCAGCCAGCGTGCCGTCCAGCCCTCGCATGAGCCGCAGGCTCTACTCTCAGTGCAAAGCCGCAGGAGACTCCCGGCAGAGGAAATACTCAACTGGCTCCCTCAACAGCCTGGGGATGCATAGTCGTTCTCTGCCACGGCTTCACAACGCAGCAGACCCCCCTGCTCTGTCGCTACCGTCACGACACTCAGTGGGTTCCCACAGAGGCTCAGCAGGGCAGCGGCATAGTCTCTCCTCCCTGGAGCAGCCACCAGATGTGACAGTACCAGCCAGCATGCCCAGCACTCCCAGGAGGGCCAGCCTGGCCTCTCTGAGCTCTCTGGGTGTAGATATGGATGGGACAGGCTTAGATCTGGACTTCGGAGAGAGGAGGTTGTCGTTTGGGAAGGGTGGGCTGGGTCCAGGACAAAGGGTGGGCAGCATCAGCTCTTTGAATGGCAAAGAGGAGCTGAGAGACTATCACCAGCACCAGAGAGACGAACGACTCAGGGAGCAGAAAGTGCAGAGATTGGTGAGTTTCTGTTTGACCTCGATTCATCCACTTTTATCCTACTTTAACAACTTCTGAACACCTTGTTTGAAAGGAGTTAACAGTAACAACTAAAACATAAGATAATTAAGTGTGGATCACCTGTCTACAGGAGTGCCAGCGTCTAGAGACCATCTTCAACCTGTGCACTGAGTTTGGCCATGTGGAGAGAGCGCCGGCGGGCTCAGCGGTTTCTGACCTGCAGAAGATCAATAAGGAGCTGGAGAAGCTGCAGGTGTCAGACGATGAGTCAGTGTTCTCCGACTCTCCCAGCAGCACCGCTCCAGAGAGCTGCTTTGCAGCCAAAGCCAGAGACTTCCAACTCGCTGAGGAGCAGCGGGTCAGCCAGCGTCCGCAGAGCGGCTACAGAGAGGCCAGGTCCCACTCACCTGCTATCAGCCTGAACAGCAGTGCTGCCTCACCCTCCACCCACCACAGAGCCAAAGTAAGGTTGTCCAAAGCCATGCCTATCGACAAGTTATCATAAACATCAGGTCAGAAGGAGATCGACAAATAGGAATTAAATTAAATCACAGTTATAGGTCTAAGAAATATTCAATATTCAGTAGAATTTTCCTCAAAGTGCTTTACAAAAGACCAATAAAGAAATAAACCTGCAACTTATTCTGCATTTTAATTAAATTCATTGTAAACTGAATTAACTCCAAGGACCAGATGGGATGATTTTCATTTCAAGTACTACATAAGCTGAGTATTTCAACTCTGAATACATTAAATTAGTAAAATCAGCCACAGGTGATCAAATACAAGGACACGTTCTACCACATAGCTACAGCAGCTAATGTGTAGTGGATTATACATGTGACAGAATGATAGTTTGAGCTGCATTAATTGATATTCTTGGGTACACTTTGGGACAGAATAAACCAGTGTTAATATAAAAATGTTCTTCATGTTGCTGTTCAACAGAAGCCTTTTCGACAGCAGGGAATTAGCACATGTAAAAGATTTAATTAATGACATTGATTCCCTTTTCTGCTTTGGTTTGAGGGTCCTGGTGTTGACTCAGGGTTCACTGAGACACTTGAACAGAGCTTTTGTTATCAACACCTGGGCTTTTCCTACTATGACAAGTCAAAACGGCTGCTTTGAAAAACATTATAAACCTGCATAAAGTAAAGTTTCTTACTTGGCTGTATGACCTGGACTGAACGTTTTTGGTAGAGAAAGAGACATCTGTTCAAAGTGTATTCACATCTTGTCCTCTTATTTGCTTCCTTCCATCTTTTCTTTGCCTTCTCAGTTACTTCCTGCTACAGAGTAAGTGTTAGTGAGTTAAGAGAGGACCAAATTGCGGCTGAGACTAATGGGACAAACCCCTCCTGTGGAATGCAGTGCATCAGACTGCTGATAGCTTGTTGATCTTTGTTTACCTTTTGAAAGATCAGGGTAAATTCCATGGTCATTGGATTTAGTGTGTGTCTTCCACAGTATTAGTCAACACAATCTCTCTCTCTCTCTCTCTCTGAGTAAACGCAGATTCCTCAAAATCATTGGACTTGTAGTTAAGTTTTTTTTACAGTCAACTGTGTGCAGTTTGTACATTTCCTGTTTATGTTCAGATACAAACAGGAAAATCACAGTTGCACAAGACCTCCTGTAGAATATTCACTATTCGGGACTGTATGAGGGTTAGCAGATTACCAGGCGCTGTGATGGATGAATCTTCAGGCACAATGAGACACTGGAAGAGTCCACTTCAATTATATTTTATTGTAGAGATGGTAGGGCAGGTCAGACTGGCACAATCAATGCTGGTTGGAACTAAGAAGAAAATGTATACCATGTGTTATCACAATACACTAAATTGAATACATGGGGAGCAAATATCTGGCGACCCTAGAACTGACACAAATTAACACAATGTACATCATTCTAAATTAACATAAATACCTCAATCATCATGGTACTGCAAGCGTAAATATACTAAGAGCAAAGAAACTCACATTTTCACAAACAATTGTTGCCAGTAGAGCCCAGGGTGCTGCTGCAGGTAATGGTCAAGGGCTCACACCTGACCTCAATCCCCTATCTATAGGCTCTGATCAAACCAGGCCCCTCCCACTTTCTGCTCCTCCTCAGACAGCTCCGCCTCCAGACCTGCTCCTCACAACACTTCCTCACAGCTTTAACGATTTGACCTCATCTTTTGTCCCATCAACTTTTTTTGAATGTGTCACAGTGTCAAGCCTCGCCGCACGTACTGAGAAGTGAATGAACATGTTTAATTTACAAATGTAAATATACAGAATGCATCAAATACTGTGATTTTTGCTCCCATGCAGGCCCCCCTCCTCCACTGTCACAGTCCTAGTGCTGCTGAGTTACTGGCTCTGTAAAAGCGCAGCTCTTTTTTTCACTCTAGAGCAGTAACAACCTAATGGTTTGGTCTGGTTTTAATGAAGAAGTCCTCGTTTTGTTTCTGCACTCAACTCGAGGGAACAGGAAATGACTTTATCCCGAGGAGAATTAGTGTGTGCATGGGTGTGTGCGTGCATGCACAACTGTGTGCGGGTGTGTGGGATTGGAAGAATGCTAGTGTATATGCATGGTAAAGACATGCGCTTTTTCCAGATGTTTTGAACTTTTATGCTGAGGCTAAATGGATGTGAAGATCAGAATGTAGTGAACACATCAACACAGGTCATCAATCAATATTCTTTTATATGAAAGATACAACTTTCAAACAAACCTTGAAGTTAAAGAAATTAGATTTCCAAGTTGAGACCATTACTTCTGCAGTGTGTCAATTGTGACAGAGGTTTACAGACTCCAAATACCCTTTCTTCCACCATCTGCATTCCTCTGAGTAGTATGTGCAGGACTCACGACCCGCTTGGGAAACTATAAGTCCTAGAGCTGCTGACCACATGAACCGTGACCACAAAAACAATCATCCTGAAAGAAAGAATACCTGATAATACAGGCTTTCTTAAATGTACCCACGATTGAGTATGAACGTATGTTTGTAGGATGTTGGTAGACGATGAAATACGTGGGAGTACTTTGGCGTGACTGGAAGTGGAGTGGAATCTGATAGAGATTTCCATTACTGCACCAAGTAGAAAAGAATCCTGCCCCTGTTGTCAGCGATCCAGCTTTGGATGAGTTAAAACAGCAGCTGCTGTTTCAAAATTACAGATTCTACAGGCTGGCGAATTATTTAACAACATATTTTACAGTATGTATGGAAAAAAAGAGTTGCCCAAGTTTTAAAAAACTTTTTTTTCATCAAATATGAGAAGCTTATGATGGGGATTTTTCCCAAAATATGAAGTGTCCTGTACAGCCAAGCATTTATATGCATTCCTGATGTCACTACAGGCCTTGGAGAGTGTGCAGCTGAAACAGGAAGTAACGCATATAGAGGAAGAGAGGATTCAAGTTGTGAACAACATTGAGGAGTTGGAGCAGAAGATCAAAGACCTGGACAACCAGATGGAGGAGTCTGTTCGAGAGGTAGACAGCAGAGTGCGATATATAACCTGACACTTGAACAGCTTGATAGTGTTGGTTCTCATGTAGCGTGAGATAAACCGACGACTTGTTGATAACTTAAGAGCATTAGTTTATCACGTAAGCTCATCACAGTAAAGCTGATGAAGTGAGATGCTAAAGTCATACATTCAGTCTTTGGTTTATCTCGTGCTGTTTGATCGTCTATTTAATCAAGTTGGTTTTATCAATGGCAGTTTTTTTACTCTGTGCTGCTGTTTCCTGCAGATGGAGGTGGAGTGTGCTCTGCTGGAGGGGGAACACGAGTCGGAGATGACCCAGCTGCAGAGGGAAAAGGAGCTCCTGGACCAACTTAAGAAAAGGATTCATAGTATTGAGAAGACGAGCCACACGGAGAAATCCCAGGTAACATTATAGAACATGATCAAGCCATGGCAGACGTACTATGTGGACACAGGTTCTTAGGCACTAAAGCAACAGCTCAAGCAAACTCTAAGGGATCAGTTCAGTTCAACCACAGCTTCCTCTAACAGGGGCTCAGTTACATTTCCTTTAAAACCAAACAAACTAATTATGTTTCCAAGAGGAAATGCTTAAAACACCGGATCAAGAGGGTTCATCACAAATGGGATCTGCAAAGCAGCTTGGAAAGTTGATTAAAGACCCTCATTGAGAACCGTCCAAATGTGCAACAGAGAACAGTGCAGCAGTAGTTTTCTTGTGATCGACTGGGCAGAACACCTAAACTAACTCAACTGGACAAAACATTCTGTATTCTCCAGAATCAGATCTCATTTATTTCACATGTGCAGTCTGTTTTTTCATTTATTCCCAATTTGTTTCTTTTTGCACCTTTATTATCCGTCTTGACCTTGTCCTTTGTAATCCTGGATACCTACCTTTACTTCCTGTCTCACATTCACAACTTTTGTTCTTGCCCTGGTTTCTCTTATACCCACATTTGGGAAGGGCCCCAAATAGTTACCATGTGTAAAACAAACTGTTAGCGCATCTGACTCCAATTTGGTGGAAAACTAAATAACCTGAATTCTTGGAAGGACACGAGATTTAACACTTATTACATTGCCAAAAATAAGACAAATGCTTAAAGTTTAATTAGCATTAAATACTGTGCTAAAAACACCAAAACTGGTTCCATTTCCATACAGGCATGCACAATTTATAGTTCCTTCTTTGTGCCCATAGTAGATCCGATTCTTACAGAGTATTCTCGTCTATTTATGTGCTGTTATTTATTGTATTGGGGTATTATGTCTGCGTCTGTGCTGTTTCTCAGGACACTGAGGAGCAGACTAAAAGTTTGGAGGATTTGGAGTTTCAGAAGCTGGAGAGAGAAATTAATCAGGACGAAGAAAAAGAGAGTCAGAGCCAAGAGCTGCTGCGAGAGATCGCCGATTGTCAGCGTATTGCAGTCACACGCAAGGTACGGAGAGTGAGGTTCTATGAGTGTGCATGTAGCATGTGTTGCATGTAATGCTGGCACTGCATCACTTTTAAATGTCTAACATCCAGTCAGAAATATTTACAGTATGAAAACAACTGTATTTTTGGAACATGATGACAGAACACACCTCAACAGTTTCCTTAAAGCAAGTCTTGATCTCAGATTTCAGTAACAGGCCCACAGAAATATCCCTCTTCTCATTTAAGAGGTTGACGTCTTGTCAGTATTGAAAAACCAAAGTGCTGAGTTTGATCTACTTTAAGTTTCTTATATTGTCAGATGAAGTGCATTTATTAATCTGACCTTAATCTGTCAAATCATATCAAATAAAAGATCTGTTGAAGCACATTTATACTCTGTAGAAAGTTTTTGTGGTGATCATTTTAAATATTTGCTTTGTTCAATTACTACATTGTGGTTTGTTGTCGTTAATCTTACTACAGGTTGTGCATGAAAATAAAGCTGCAAAATTGTGAGATATGCAGCACAAAGCATGAACTAATTACAAGAAACAGCAATACCAACAATTGGTAAGCATGAAATACTATTTGCGTAGTACTAAAGAAAGAACTTTCAACTAAGGGCAATTCCACAGAGAGGGGGCAGAAGCAGGGTGAGGATATTAAATGAATGTGTAAAGAAGATGTAGTTGTCGAAAAACAAAAATCTCGGAAAAATGTTGTATTTCCCATTCCAAAATTAGAATTTGCTCTTGTTCCTTCTGCTGCTGCTTCATAATAAAGCACATGTGCAGTATCTGCTAATGTGACAACATTATTCATTTGATAACGTTGCAGGATATTGTGTATTGATATTGTGCTGTTTTGTTTTTCACAGGAAAGACTCATGGCGCTGAAGAAACAGTCCTCGCAGATTACCTTACAGGCTCAACAAGAAAGAGAGAACTTCCAGAGAGAGAAAAACAATTTGCTCGTCATGCTTCAGAAGGTTAAAAAAAACAACTCTTTGATTTAAATGTTTTAATATTTGATTTCATTTACTTGAAGATCTTATCCCGATGTCTGCAGGAGAGAGAGAAACTGGCGTCTTTGGAAGGAAAGTATGCAGAGCTGTCTGAGGGACAGACCTTCACTAACAACCCTGTAGCCATGAAAGAGGTTGGTTCAAGTTACAGCTTCAGTGGCACTTTATATTTCCACCAGCAGAGTGCTCCTCTGTCACACAATGAATGACCAAAGTTTCAATGTCTCTGATGTGATGTCCTGTTATTATTTTCCTTTCTTATCCTTTGTGATTCCTCTGATGTCTGTCATCACTGCAGCACTCTCTGAAGGAAAGGAGAAGAAGCAACAAGGAAAACTCTTGCCACCCGAGTGACAGCCTACCTCATAAGAGGAGCCAGCAGCTCCTCACCTCTTATGGCCGATCCCTGGGACGCACGCTTCCTCCCAAGGTTATTACCTTTTTGTCAAAAGCAATCTTAGCAGCCATTGAAGGCAGTAGGATCAAACTGGTTGTTTGAAAGGACTATTAGTATTTATCGTATTTAAAGCACACTGTAATACTATGGTAGAGGCCTTACAGCAAGAACTAGAAAGGTGCACTAGTGTATCGTGCAGATCTCTGCCAGGTGTGTCTGCAAACGACCCCTGCTGTACTATGCGATTCAATGAATGCAACCCACAATTGACTAACCCAGACATTAAAGGGCTGTAAGGCGTCATGAAACACACTTCAGTCAAACTCAAAAACAAGTGCCAATGTACGCAAGCAATCGGCTTGAAGTCGTTGTATAAGACATCTCACACAATCTTAACAACAACAACAAAAATGCACTAAGCTGTCTGCACGCGTAGCAGCAGCTGAGTGGGGGCGATGTACAGCAGTGTGCGCGCTTGTATTTCTGTTAGCTGTTAGAAAAACACAACGTCCAAAACAACCAAAGTGAACTATTTTCTCCCCAACTGTGTCTCTTGGCACAGAGTAGCAGCAGGGGGTCGGCGATGCACTCAGCTGTGTTATCACTAGTGGCCCCTACCGGCTGGGGGCCTGTGGGGGTGTGTGAGGAGTCAGCAGGCAGTCAATGGCAGTATAAAACAAGCGAGGAAAATGTGAGTCTCTACAACCACTAGAGGTCCTTGAGCATGTAGCCGTAAATGGCCACTCCAAATATCATGCAGTTTGCTGCAGCGGAATGTGAGATTAGCTGTGGACAGACACAGAGGTGCATTAGTGATAATAAAACCTATAACTGTTGTTCTTTTTTAAATGGTGCTCATTGTGATTCTGGACTGCAGAAAAGGGGATTTTCACTGCCCTCATTACTTGTATCCAAAACAATTTGTCTCTAGAGAATGATCCACCCAAACAGAAATTCTCCCTTTCAGTCTGGCTTGCAACACCCATCCAGCTCATAAAGTTTGTAGTTATGTGAAGGTTGTAGAGCCTGATCCTGAACAGCATTTGTGCTGATGTTTCCTCCTCAGGCCCACTTGCCTCTGTCTCAAAGCTCCAGCTGTGGCAGCGTCATCCCACAAAACTTCAGCTTCTCCCCCCGGGACCTGAGCACCCGCCGCCTGCCCAAGAGTGAGTCAAAGTGCCAGGCTGTCACATTTTGTCTGCATCAAATCTACACTATGTGGCCCGCTTTAAACCTCAGGCGTTACACATGTAGGACAAGAAATGTTGAACTGATGCAATAATCTGTGGCACGGCACAAAGGGAGCCACATTTAGTCCACATCTGTTATCAAAGACAGGTCTACTGTACATTATACCAGATAGGAATTTCTGATCTTTAGCCAAATTACATGTTTACACAGCTTGCTCAAAACGTGTAACACATACAGAGTATCTCTATTGGTAATGGCAGTACTTGTGATCTATGTATACTTCATTAGATATTAGAAGTCATAGAAGATTACATGTTCAGCTGCAGAATTTATCACTCATGATGTTAAATTCCCAATTATAATAACCATACCGTTTGTTTTCCAATATCTTTTTGAAGATTGAGAGGGATTTAAGCTAAACAGGAATTCCACAAATGTTTCAGCCTAAAACAGTAGACGGTGTCTAAAATGTATTTTGTTGTTTGTTTTCTTTCATTAGCTCTGTTTACTTTTCGCATCCCAACAGACTTAATCCTTCTCCATCCAGTTGAATCAGTGTAACTTGGCCCGGTTGCTACAGACAGATTTCTATTAAATTATTATCACAAGATGCTATCCCACTTAGATCATGCATGATGAGGGTATTTCCGCTTTCTAACTGTAATATTTTCTTCTGTCAGCAGGCAACAGCAATTCACACATGAATGAAGACAGACAGAGAAGAAGCGATTTTTGCAGTAGGATGATCTCTGAGCCCAGCGTGTTCTTGGACTCCTTCACCTACCTGGACCACAGCCAGACCTCAGACACTGTCAGTGTGCACAGCTCTGACAGCCTGGAGACCAGCTTCTCCGCCTGCACCCCGGACAACATCTCCAGGTCAGAGAGAAAGCACCATGGCGTACAGATGAAAGGTTACTTTGAAAAGTTTAGACGGAGCAAATATGTGTGAGTCAGAAGAAGAAGGGTTGTATTTTTAGAAAAGAAGTGGGAGCATGAAGGCTGCAGAAGATGATCAGGAGAGATATTCAGAAAGAGGAAATGCTTTTGGTTTTTGAAGAGGCTGTGATGCTCTGTGTTTGTGTCAGATGGGAGACAAACATATCCACATGATATCTAGCCCTCCTTATGCTGTCTCACTAACAGCTACATATGCATGAACAAATTCAGTCTCGGCCTTTGTAATGGTGTTTGTGGCTATTTGTTGTGTTTTAGGGGGGAGCTTACAATTTTGTTTTTTTGCAAATTCAAACAAAAACCTAAAAAATAAATTACATATATTCAGTTTACGGTACGTATTTGTACAAATGAGTTTGTTTGCATGGCCTTATTTTTGGTTGTTACAGTGTATTTTATCACCTCGATGTTTTTTTGTTGTTTTAGCTTATGATATACAGTATGTTCCACAAACAGGAGTGTATCCTCCCCTTATCAGAAGAATCTGGTTCTTCTTGTGTTTGACAACTTGTGTTTTCCATTTTCCATCAGCGCCAGTACGTCCAATATGGCAAAGATCGAGGAGATGGAGCGTTTACTCCGAGAGGCCCAGGCTGAGAAACTAAGACTCCTCGAGCATCGGGTAATGGGCCAAACCTAACCAAAACTTCCTGTGCTTATGGATGTGTGTGTTTGATGATGGATGTAATTTACACTATGTGGCTTGTGCAGGAGCGAGAGATGGAGATGCGCAGGCATGCTCTGGAGGAGGAGCGGCGAAGAAGGGAGGAACTGGAGAAACGACTGCAGGAGGAGACAAGCAGGAGACAAAAACTTGTGGAGAGAGAAGTGAAGCTCAGGGAGAAACAAAGATCACAGGTATTTAGAATAACTAACGAGAAGAGGTTGAAATCTGATGTGGGTTCTTTTCACCATAAGCTTTGTGTAAATACTTATTTAATTGCTTTCTCCATAGTCACGGCTGTTGACTCGCTACCTCCCTGTAAGGAAAGATGACTATGATCTTCACGGCCACATCGAGGCAGCTGGACACAACCCAGATGCCTGCTTCCATCTGGCCATCACTGATAAAACCTGTCGAGGCTTCCTGGTCAAAATGGGAGGCAAGATTAAGACCTGGAAGAAGCGCTGGTTTGTCTTCGACCAGAATCGCAGGACGCTCACTTACTATGCAGGTGAGCCACTCTTGCTTTCACTTCTCTGTTGAAAATGTGCAGTTTAAGATGTGAGACAACATTTCTACAACAGTGATGTCACTTTTAAGCTATGCCGGGATACTTTGGAAGCTGAGACCGAGCTTTGATCACAGTGTTGTTGGTTCTGTTTATGTTCTCCGCTGCAGACAAACATGAGGCCAAGGTGAAAGGAGTCATTTACTTCCAAGCCATAGAGGAGGTGTACTATGACCACTTGAAGAATGCACACAAAGTAAGTCTGTTTACGTGCCTGTGTGCGTGTCTGTGATTTTTAGTTTGTGGGATTGTCTACACGCCTCATTTACTTTCAGTAATGTTGACATCTGTTTATCCTCTGCTTTTCTCCCTCCATTTGTCTCTCTCCCTCCCACACATACATCCTCTCACCGCTCCATTCTTATTTCACTGTTTTATCAACATTACATTCACTTCTGCACCCAAGAGCCCCAACCCCTCGCTGACGTTCAGTATGAAGACCCACGATCGGGTGTACTACATGGTGGCTCCGTCGCCTGAGGCCATGCGTATCTGGATGGATGTGATGGTTACGGGTGCAGAAGGACACATGCATTTCATGGTGTAGCAGATCCCAACAGATGACGGTCCACACCCCTGAATTTCGTTAAACGTTGTTGGCGGTCTGCTCGTATCAATGTAACGTTGTGCTGCGCTGAGATTGATGTTCATCAGGTCAACATAAAGTGAACTTCTGTTTACACTTGTATTATCTTTAGCCTACAACTCATGCTCAAAAGCACACTTTATAATGTAATCATGTATAATATCAAAACAATTGATATACAGGTTTCATAATTAAGCTATTTAGTTATTCTTGTTGTACTGAGAGAGGCTGAAACGTCAGAAAATCTGCACTAATTTAGTAGTTTTTTTTCCAACTTCCTTAAACAAAATCTCTGCTTGTATCACACTCTCCCTTTTATATTTGGCAGTTAAAACGTGATCAGGAAAGCTTCTAAATGAGCAGAAACTCAACATCTGCTACACATCTAAATAGCTTTACACACCGATGCTGCTTGTCTTCCTATAACCTTACCTTTTGTGATGTACATATCCGATATCTTCTACTTCTCGTTGGACGTCAAGCTGTATCAGTGGGTCACAACTTCCAGATAAGATCAACCAATCTGTATTTGTGTTTGCAAGAATTCCCATTTTATTATTTTACATTTTTATCTCAAGCATTTCATTGCTGCTGCCAGACTACAGGCATTAGCTGGTATTGTCTGCTTTTGTAAAGCAGGGCTGAATTGTCCACCATCCGTATCTCTTCATACCACATACACGTCTCTTTGCATCACTTTTATTCCAGTGAGTCCTAATTTGGGCTTCACATATGCAAACTTCCGTCATGTAGCAGAGATGATTACAGTCACTTTTCAGGTTTTATTGTTATCAACTATTAGTAGTTGTTGGAAAATATTCTTCTCATAAAAGTAGATAATCTGCCCAAATGACAATGGTACTGTGTTTCATGCCTACCACTGTGCAGCTAGCTGCCTCCATAGTAGAGGCTGCAGGCCTGTTGGGATGAGGCCATGTTGTGCAGCAGGGATGCGGTGTATGTACTGCATCACCCGCATGTTACTCCTAAGCTTTTCATTATGTTTTTTCACCAGCAGAGGTCCTCAGTGCAGAGTTATTGCACTGAAATGACGTAATGCCCTCAGCAGTAGGACCATACTCATCAATGATCCATTTAATGCTTATATATCAAATATCTGCATTTATAAACACATGCATATCAATATAATATCTGCTTTTTGGAAGCAAGACAGAAATCACTTTCACAGCACGTTTGAATGTTTTGTAAAATCCATATGTTCGATCTGTATGTTCTTTGACTCTTTACAACAGTCTGACTGTGTTTGATAATGAAAGATCACTTTGACAGCAAGTGACCAGCTGTTGGTTTACAGACTGCAGAGAGCAGAGGAGGCTGCGGAGCCGACAGGGTTGCAGATGAGTTGTTGCCCATCCTGGATGCTTCTCAGTGGACGGAGGTCTCCGTCATGTTAACATCTCAGCTGCAAACTGCTGTCCGCTGTATGAGACACAAGTCTTGAAACCAAACAAATTACTGCATTTCCATATATTTTTAATGAATTTAATATTTTGTATGCAAACAATGACAATTTTAATCGACTCTATGCTCACGTTTTTTTTCCATTGGTGACATTTGTCATGTTTCAATATGAATATGAATAAATAATGTTGATTATAAATCATATCAGTGATTTGGTTACTTTGCATGTTGAACACTTACAGTATATAATGATTTTATGATTTCTGAAACAGGGTGGGATGAATTGGCTCTTGCTTTGCTGAAGTTTTACTTTGTGTATTGAGTACCATAGCTTTATCTTTACACGGATATAATGTATCATCACGGTAATCTAAGGCCTTATTATATCCTTACGCCTTTTAAAGGAGTCGTCATTTTATTTATCATATGTTAGCCATGATTAGAGCCAATTCCAGTATCACTGTGGCATTCTTTTGCTAATTCAGCAGCTACCCGTATATCTGGAAAACAATGTCTCAGATGTTTTAGTAATGTAATATTATCTACAGTACATCCTTTTTTCAATACATTTAAATACATCTCTTTTAGCCTTCATATTCATAGGTGTGTAGTATTTGTGTCTTCGGTTTCACTACATCACAGAAAACTCAGCATTGCTGATTTTGTTCTGCGTGGCTGGTTCAGCTCCGGTCAATGCAAAAACAGTTTGGAAGCAAATTGATTATCAATGTAAAATAAGTCATTACAGTGAATCATTATTCTGAGTGTTATGATTCAATAATTCAATTTAAAATGATGCATAAAGCAATAACGGGTCTTATTAGCATGTATACAGTGAGTGTGCTCATTAAGGCACTCATGTTTTTTAACTCCTCCTCTCGACACTCGCGGCCCCTCATTGGTTGACCTAGTGGGGTTGGCATGGAAACACAGAATGAAGCATGCTAAATTAGGCTCTAAAGCGGCGCATCGTCTCTCCAGAGGCAGAAGTAGACACAAACACATGCAGACCATAGAAAGCCAGGGTGGCCTCGGGGCTCTATGGGTGAAGTAACTTCTGTAACATATTTGGGGCAAAGGGGGGCTGGACTTTAAGACACACAAACAACCTATAAATAGATGTACTCTGAGACAGCTCATTCAAAAGGTTTATTCCAATGTGTTCCCTGTTTGTACTTCACTCAAGGCTGTTGTCACCACCACTTACAAGCCTGAAAGACACACTGCTGTAAAATCATGTGAATGAATGCTGACAAAGGCAGTATTCACTGATTATGCTTGTTTTGGATTTATCTTTTTAAACTACAAGATTCAAACCAGCGGTTTCCTGTAATGGAGAGCATGATCTAATGTATCACGCTGTGTCACAATGTGAGCCCTCATAACCAAACTTCAGGCGTGATTATAAATCTACTTTCCGTTTAAGACCGTTTTGAAACATTTTCCTCCCAAATCGCAGGTGTTACCGAGAGAGAAATCTGTGTTGTGTTTGAGCCTCAGGGGGAAACTGTTCTTTTCTCAGGGAGATAGTTTTACCCTCTGTGGTCTGTATCGGCACCTGATGAGGTGAAATCCTCGTGTTTTTCTGTGGCAATTGATGGTCCTCTTTTCTCAGCTTGCAGCCTCTGGCTTCCTGAAGTACACAGAGGTCTTTCTGTGGCACCTCCGCTTTTTTTCTGTAAGAAATTCACCCTTTGTCCTTACGCCTTATTCCTAACACCAGACTCCTTATAACAGTACCGCATGACTCAGATCAGTGTCCCGTCTGTAACCTGAGGTTTTACTCAGCGCTGCTTTTCAACATGTTTTTCCTACATTTTCTGCCTTTGTGCAAAATTAGAGATTCTTTTGTTGACTATCGCTTTTTCTGTTGAAGTAACTATTTGCATGTTGTTCTTTTCTGCAATGATATCAAACTGATATTAAATGTTCAAATCAAATTACCCACTCAGTCATTATGCAGCGCATCCATCGTGTGCATTTCACACTAAGAATAGCAATGACACACATTCCCTAACCCTTTTCCTGATAATAAGGTATGCATGTTAAGCGCTTTCCCTTGCGGCTGATTGGATCACTGCTGACATTCATGTGCTCGCTTTTCAGGTCAGTGAGCTTTGAGTGTGGATGATGTTGAAATGATGTTCCTATGAGGACACTCTGAGCAAAGCTGTGGTAAGATAGTGAGCCATTACTGATTTGTCTTATCTCCTTCCTTTAACTTTTCCCTGATGCCATCTCCTTCCTCATTCAATTATTTAAAGAGATGATGTTTTATATGATCTCACATCTTATCCTTCTGCAAACTGACACAATATTTAAAAAAACATGCAGGATATAATTCACAATTTAAACAGATCTCATCTTGCGAATACTCATATTGTTTTATTGATTAAATAGGAAACAGAACAACATAGATGAGACTATACACAGAGATACTGTTCTCATCTGAGTATAAGTGGGATAAGGACGTGCCAGTGTACGAGAGATCCCATCTCAGCATCCTCTCTGTCTCGCTCACAGCGTCCACCGAGCCATTCATAACGGCTGGACATATTCCACTCCTCCATCAAAACCAGTTTCTCCCAGAGTTCACAGTGAGATCTAATCATGTTACATATGAGCAGGCGGACACACAGGCACTGCACAGTTCAACATCTTGTGCAAAAATGAATGGCACGTTTTTCTGCTACATACATCCAAAGATAGGTGTGGAATGTAAATTTGGTTGTTGCATTCATTTAGAGAGCTCCTGCTGTTCTTCTCCAGACATAAATAAAAAGTAAAAGGACTGTTTTTTATCAAAGAGACTTGCTGGAAAGAAAGACCAAAAGATTTGACGAATCCTACAAAAAGGGGGAGTAACAAAAGTTAAAAGTACCGTAGAAAAGATTTTGAGAGTCTGTCCGAAAAAGCACCCGTAAAAAGGCACTCGCCCGTGTGTGTGTGTGTGTGTATGTGTGTGTGTGTGTGTGTGTGACTGTGTTCTCAGAAGACCTTTTTTCTTTTATCTTTAGTCACCGATGCTGCTGTGTGGGACCCCGAACCTTTCCTGAGTGCATGTCCAGTTGCCTCAGCACCAAAGAGCCAGGCTTGTTGCTCCGGCTCCTTGTGGAGATGTTTTGTGCTTGAGTGCTGTCAGCCTCCTTGACTCTGTTACTGTTGCTTATGGTGTAGTGAAGCCAAGAATAACACAGTCTAGAAAAAAGGGTGGTCATTAAGTTAAGAGAAAAATAAGTTGCAAAGCCATAATCTGTATCATTGATTGATTCAAGTCCATTTATTTATTTTCTTATCTGAGAGCTGCCACCTGCAGCTGCAGGTTTGTTCCCAGACCTGCGGACAGGAACCTTGGACACGGGTATCTTGGTGCGAGAGGATTCTTTAGCTTGAGGGATATGGGAGGCAGTGTGAGACTGTGTGCCGTGCTTCACGGGGATCTTCGAGTCACGCGGTAAACTGGTGAGGACTTTCGGCTGAGGAAGCGGCTGACTCTCCTCCTGGCTGTGTTTTGAGGTGGGCACATTAGCCTCAACATCACAGATTTTATCTTTGCTCCCTGCATCATGTGAGTTGAAACGGGGCCTCTCTTCTTCTAGCACAGGAGTCGGTGGGTCCCGGCACGCTTCATCATCGATATGTTGACTGTCCCGGACAGGTGGCTTGCCTGCTCTGCCCCCTCCAACTACAGGTATTTTGCTTAGTCCCGATGCCTTTACTTGTGGTATCCTTCTTTCTCTGGAGGTGCCCTGGAGGCTTGTTCGTGACTCAGTATGCAGTTCTTCTGTTTTTGACAGCATGGTCTGGGCCCCTGTGCTACTTGGACTAATCAGTTGCTCATTGACTGATGACTGTCCACTTCCTCTCATTTTAGCAGAGGCTGGGGCCTCACTCAACCCAGCTGTGGGAGTAGAAGGAAGAGGAGTGACGGAGCAAGGGGATGGGGATGGCGCAGGAGGGGCTTTAGATTGAGAAACTGTGACCTGAGCAGGAGGGTCTTTAGATACAGAAACTGGGATACGAACAGGGGCAGGAAGGTCAGTAGACATAGAAATTGGGAGGTGGGTAGGGACAGGAGGGTTTTTAGATACAGAAACTGGGATCTGAGCGGTAACAGGAGGGGGCTTAGATTCAGAAATCGGGGTCTGAACAGGAGCAGGAAGGGCTTTAGATTGAGAAACTTGCGTTCGAGCAGGAGCAGGCGGATCATTAGACACATGAATTGGGATCTGAGCTGTGACAGGAGGGGCTTTAGATTGAGAAACTTGTGATCGAGCAGGAGCAGGCGGATCATTAGATACATGAATCGGGATCTGAGCTGTGACAGGAGGGACTTTAGACTGAGAAACTTGCATTTGAGCAGGTGGATCTTTAGATACAGAAATTGGGATTTGAGCAGGAGCAGGAGGGGCATTATATTGAGAGACTGGGATCTGAGCCGGAGAAGGAGGTGTTGGGAATGCTGTAGGAACAACAGCATGAGTGGTAAGGGCTGGGGTCGGTGTGGGAGCAGGGGTCATCTTATCTGAAGAGACTGGTGCAGGAATGTGTTTAGTCATGGGAGGAATCTTATCTAATGAAATAGAAGCTGGAGTCGGGACAGATGCAGAGCAGGGTTGGGTTCTAGTTGTGGCAGTCGGGGTAGAGGAAGGATACTTATCGGGAGCACTTACAAGGAAGGGAGGGGACTTATTCAAGTCCATTGGGCTTGAGGTGAGTGTAGGTTTGGAGAGGGCCGCAGATACCGAGCCTGAGGTCGTAGATGATTGGGGAACCGTTATCAACTTGGAGGGGGGGACCGGTGCGGAAAAGGAGGGTTTGGTTGTAACAGCAGAGGGAGGTGATACTATCACTGGGGTTTTATATTCTCCTGCAGCTGAACTTAGGGAAGGTTTGTAGAAAGTGGAAGATTGCAGGTTCAAACTGCTAGCTGAATCAAATTTATTAGATGGAGGTTGAGTAAAAGTAACAGGGGTGGGGGGTCTAGGGGTCACTGGTGGAGGTTTAGCTGATGCTGGGGTTGGAGTAGCTACAGGGATAGGTTTACTTACTGAGGTAATAACTTGAGGAGGTGCTGCAACCTCTGAAACCAGTTTGCTAGCCATACAGGTAAGAGTTGGACTAATGGAAGGAGCCTTGAATACAGTGGCCGGGGTTTTCGGTGGAGCTGTGGTAGCAGTAGAGGTGGAGCTCAGTGTGGATTTAATTGTCACTGAAGGGAGAGACATTATTGGAGCCGAAAAGCCTGTTGATGTTAAAGGGGTAGTTGAGGGTTTTGTTGCGATGGGCGTAGGAGTCGATTTAATTTTAATGCTAGCAGAAGGCTCAGAGTCTGTGAGCTGAGTAGAGTCCGAGCTCAGTTTGACTGAGTGAGTGGTCAAAGTGGAAGATTTGGTAAAAGTTGTGATGATGGAGCTTGGCTTGGCAATGGGAGAAGAGGTTGTGGTTGTCCTTGTCAGAGGTGTCAAGGATTGGGTCCAGGCTGTTGTGGGGACGGCTACAGGAGAGGGTTTTGCCGGAGCGGCAGTGCTGATTGAGGCAGAGGTCGGTGGAGATGAGATGGTGGGTTTGGAGAAGATCGATGTGTATGATGCCGTGAAATCAGTCACCACAGCACTGATGGGACTGCTGGCTTTCCCCCACTCTGCCTCCACATCAGCCATGATGTCTCCACCCCCTGTGATTGAGTCAAAGGTCAGGAGAGAAGAGATGTCTGCCAGCAAGCAGCTCAGGCTGTTATCACCAGGTACCAAGGGTGGTTCAGATGTGGGGAAAGGTGGCACATGCTCATTAGTTCTACTCACATTGACTGATGGGGACGTGGCTGCACTGTCCTGTGTTGTTAAGCTCTTGTCGGGCTCATAGCTCTCAGTCTCGGGGCTGTCCAGAGAGCGATGCTGGGATTGTGGGGTAAGGGTGAGGTCCTCTTTGATGATTTCCACACTGTTGGCGCGTGAGGACATGAGAAGTGGGCTCGGAGGGGCTTCCTCCTCTTTATCTTTTGATCGGAACTTAACACTGCTGAAGAGACCCATCAGCCCACGACGTTGTCGACCCGAGGGCTGGGACACGGTGCAGACTCTGCGGTCCCCCGTTCCTCTCCGGCCACCCCTCAGTAACGACAGGAAGCTGAGGGACTTGGCTGAGCTGGTTGAAGAAATGGAGGCGCGAGCAGGAGCCGCAGCCAGAACGCCATCTTCACCGAGTGGCTCCTCGTCTAGGTGCTCCCTCTCTCCATGACTCACCTCCTGTCCGTTTTCCCTGTCTTGCTCCTGCTCTGAATCTGGTGATAATCCATCTGCGGTGTTGCTCCTGATAACAGGTGACTTGTTGTTTCCATCCCCTTTGCTTTGTAGAGAAAAGATGCTACCTGGCTTGCGTTTGCCAAACAGCTTGAATCCTTTTCTGATTTTTCCCCTCGACTGGGCTTCACAAGGCGGGGGGTCCGCGTTCTCCGTTTGTACATCCATCTTCTCTCCGTTTGCCCCTTTCTCTGTATCCTCCAGTTTCTTGCTGCAGTTATTATTCCCCAGCCAGTGGAGTGAGCATCTATATCCAGACCTTACGTCTATCGTCGTCTGCAGCCTTGCTTTACCTCTGTTGCTCTCGGTGCGTTTTCTTTACGGGTTGTCTGTATCCCTCCCTCTGTCTCTCTTTCCCATCCAGCCCTTTCTCCTCCACTTCTCCCTTGAAGGCCCCTCCCCTTTGCCTCCTTTCTTTTTTTTGCCTGGCTGCTCTCCCTGGTTGCCATAGCAACTGAGGGGGCTAAGCAGCTTTCGTCAGCAATGCGGAGCCAGAGGCTGTCATCAACACACCCTGAACACAGCTCTCCCCTCCTCTCTCTCTCTCTCTCTCTCTCTCTCTCTCTCTCTCTCTCTTCCTCTCCGTCTGATGACTCTGTTCACATAACAGCAGAAACAAATACTCCATTAACAGGTCCAAATTTTGAATTCTGAATGATCTGGCTTCACATAAACATCTCATCCAGATTAATGCGATGTACCTTTTTATGTGCAGCCTTATAATTATTTACTGGAACCGATTTGCTTTTATTCACATCTAGTGTGTTGCAGCGACCTACAGTAACTCACCCGAGTCTGTTAAACATGAATAAAATATTAGATTATCGGAATTTTATAAATAGCTATTGCAGTAGAGTGAAACCTTTTATAACATTCAAGTTTGGGTGATAAATAGCATATTAACCGATATGCCTCCGTACAATACTTTACTTTTCTCTCCTCAGTCTATCCACTATGCTACTGAATGATATTACTTTTAAAAAAAACATAATTTTAACAGATAGTAGAGAAAATATAAAAACAAAATAAAAATGCAATGCATGCTGTGAAGCTTAACTGTTAATGTTTCTATGATATAATCAATTAGAAGTGATCAATCTTGTGGGAGGGCGTAAACTTTGGACAACCTTAACGGAGTCAACAGCAGTCCTGAAGACAAACAAGCCTTTGAGAATGACTAGATGATTGTAAATACATGATTAGATTCAGGAAAATGTAATCTTTCAGCTAAAAGCTATATTAAGTATGACAGTGTTAACATGATCTCTCACGGCAAGTTTTGCCAATATTATTATGTTTAAATTTTCATTTGAGCAATGTTTAGATTCAGTAAAAGGTGATACAAGATTTTTGAAAAACGTAACTTCAAATGCAATCCTCTTATTGATACAGTGCTTAAAACATTATTTATTTTCACCTTTTCAGATGATTGATGTGACAAAACAAACTTGAATTACTTGAAAAGTTTGTCTGTGCTTGACACAGAAAATGTTAAATTACTTTGTTTATTCCTTTTAAAATAAGGAACTGTAAAATTTGTTATATTTATTGTTTTTATTTATTGTTATATTTATGTGAGGTTGTTGTTGAACTGAAAACAAATAATCAATCAAAATCAATCATGTGAGTTAAGTCGTGTTACTGGTTTGGGGTGGAACAAGCACGGCCTCTTGTGGTTGCTAAAGAAACAACACGTGGTACAGTTTGGCTGTAGATGGCTGTAAAATGAACACTGAGTCTGAAAATAAAGCTGCTGTCTCATGTATTTCCTGTCCCAAATAAGTCTGAGTAAGTGGGTCAGCAGTCTTTGAACAAATCTGGTTGTTTTCCACACTGTGTTAACACACAGTAGGCTGGATTCGTAGAGAACAAAGACCAAGGATTAGGTTTCCTCAATCAATTTTAGTAATAGTCTTTTTTTACAGTGACCAATACAAATACTTCCCTCTGCATGCTGCAGTGAACAAGAAATATATTTATTTATTGGTGCTTGAAACCTCAGTTTAATACATGCAGCCTGGACACTGTAATGAGTACACACATACAGACATAACAACTGAATAATGCCTCAGTATTTACTGCCCACTTTAGTACAAAATAATACATCAGATGTCAATTCAACTTCAACATCCACTCAAAAAAAATGTTGTTCTTCCGCACACAAGCATGACATGCACATATAAACTGTACAGCATGCGGTTACACCCTGTGAATTCTGCATTTAGTCGTAAGTCTGTGTTCCTCTCCTCCATCCTAGTTACAGGCTGAAATGTCTCTACCAGTTCCAAAAGAATTATTAAAGCTTAAAGGGATCGTTTGTCATAATGGGAAATATGCATATTTGCTTTCCTGCGGCGACTTGATGAGATTGACTCTCTGCGCAGTCAGTCCAATGAAAGTGAATACAATTACATTTTTGACGCTCAAAACATTCAAACACGCACCTCACTGTGGACAATCGTTAGGGGGATATTTCTGAGGCTAAAAGACTCTGGGTGAACCTTTAAGTTGTGTCTTCTACAGGATACAGATATTGACAAAAGTCAGTGAGTATAGTGTGTGAAAAATAGAAAAGGGTTGAAAGTCACCAGAGTTGTGATGTTCTCTCCCCTTGCAGAATGAAGTAACATGGCTATTTGATGATCTCTTAGATGATATGATGCATAACTAAAGAGCAGTGTTGACTTTCACTCTTTCATCACTGTCTTCTTTTTTAGACGTCATGCTCCACGAGAGTAGTCTGCAGAGCGACTTCACCGTTCTTATCATTGTCATGAGCCTCAGAGGGAAGTTCGTCATATGTTCGACGGTACAAAGGCCAATTAACCAGAGTGATGATGAACATCTCCATGATCATCATCTGCTGACTTAGCACTGCAGGACAGAGAGAGAGAGAGAGAGAGAGAGAGAGAGAGAGAGAGAGAGAGAG